GCCGATATTCACGGTCGACATAGATCGGCCCGTAGATCTTTTAGAGGATTTTTTCAAACACCCCAAGAACTACCTCATCTGCTTGCGCAAGTACCCATACTTCATATCCATATAACAGCACGGGTAGTATCAGCGTCTTGTAAAGTGTGAGTTTGGTCTGGGAGGGGAGGGGGCCTTGTTTCTAAACTGCTTACTTAGACCATAGTAGCATCTATGACCAACACAATCCTTCTCCGAATTTCAAAACTGATATCATTCGTTTTATTTATGGCGGTACCAAAGTATATATAACATCTTTAACTACCTCGAAGCTGTAGTTCTCAAGTTCCACAGCTGGTCCGAGTCTACTGGACGTCGTGCGCGTTTACTGCCAGACCCCCTTTGGCAGACTCCTTCTCAATCTGTTGGCTGGTGGCTGTTACCGCTCGCAATGTTTGACCCATTACATCGTTGTCATCGGCGTAGGCGAGTAACATGTGTTGTTTGGTGTCTAGAGTACCATTTCTGTTCACCTTTACGTCTCGTATGACCTTTTCCAGCAGGATGTTAAAAAGATCACACGACAAACTGTCACCTTGTCTGAATCCTCGTTCAGTATTGAAGGGCTCCGATAAGTCCTTTCCTACTTTAACTGCTGACCTTGTGCCTCTTAAAGTTATCCTGCATAGCCGTATTAATTTTGCAGGAAAACCGAACGCAGACATGGCTTTAAACACCTCTGAACAGATATGGCTGTCGAATGCGGTTTTATAGTCGACGAATAAGTGATAGGTGTCGATCCAGCCATCAGTTATTCTGTAAACACCGCCTACTTCAGTTGGTCTATGCAATATTACCCGCCTTCAGCTTATAATGTGAATAACCCAAAACTTCAAGTCGTCCGTGGAGATTTTGCTACCTTCAAATCCCCCATAAAAAAAATCCCCAATTCACTTATAAAAGCATTAAAAGATATTCCGATTAGCTTTCCTATGGAAACTCCCTTTTTTATCAAAAGAGACTCTATTGTTTTCTCCCTAAAAATTGAGGTCTAATCGCCCTCATTTTTTATTAATATTGAGTATAACATGCAAATTGCTTCACATTTTAATGTACATCCCAGTTAACACCTGGCCATTTTAAAAGGTATCCCTTTAGTCATTTCCCCGAATTAAAAATGTACACACAAACCCTAATATTTCACCTCGACGAAGTTGATGATCATCATCATTATCTTGATAATAGTTACAATGATTATTTATGATGATATGTTGGCTATCCTTAAAATGTGTCACCACCATATCCTTTACATCCTTCCTGCCAGTAGCACAGCCGTTCGTCCATTCGTTTATTTGCTTATTCGTTTTGCTCACTTTTTGTATTAAAATTTCAACAGCCAGTAACGGTAATGGGAACGGACGGACGGACGAACACAGCTCTGTTTCCCTGGCAAAAAGGAAATGAGCTGTAGCAATATGGATAGTCATATTTAGGCGAAACGTTTAAGCGCCACTTAAGTTGCATGGCTTAATGAAGATGTGCATGTTTAATCGCGTCCAAAAAGTTTAACGGCAAAAATTTACTTTAACACATACACCTTCCGACAATTTACTTAATTTTTGTTGGGGTCCCTCTAATAAGGGCATCGAGGGGGAGGGAGGGTTGCTTAAAATACTAAACATTGTTTTGTAATTTTCTGTACCTCCCTCCAAACTTTACTTTATTTCTTATTTACTTCCATTTCAGAATATTGTAGGTTTTTTGTTGCCTTTTGGCATTTCGTTGCCCTGTAGCCCGAGGCAGAGTGTTTTGTTGTTGAAGTGTGGCCAATTTAGATAAATGATGATTTAATTATTTAACCTCTCGGTAAAGAAGTCTATAATTTAAACGGAGCCCATGGCTGGAAGGTGTTCTCTGCTGACACGTTGTAGTTATAGTTGAGTGTGGGTATAGGTGTGTGTGTGTGCGCATCAATGCCTAACAGCTTAACTCTTACATATTCTTTCATCGCCCTGATCTCTCATTGCACACAGACAATCACATGGGGGTGTCCTTATTTATTTATTAAAAAAATATAAATCTGCATACAAAATTTAACAAGAAGGCAACACTTTTTTCACATTGTCTGTGTGTGAGTGTGAATGCTGTTGCCTGTAAGACAAGTGATGGCTTGTATGTCAGAGTGCGAAAAATAGTTTTCCCCATTCTCAGATTTTTATGTAAGTGCATAAGAATGAACTCGGCATCATCTTTCAACCACAAACGTGATGTGGTTCCATGTCGATATATGTATGCTGCATATTTTATGCTTTGATAGGATTGCGTCCACACTCTGTGAATGGCATTAATGATTTTGTATTGGGTGTTGGCTTAAATAAACCCTTCATCTTCCAAAACGATTTTTTTATTTTTAATATGAACCAGTGCGTTGTATAAGAATTCTTTCTGTGATCCAATGCGTTCTATTGGAGATCTTTTTATAGGACACCAGTAATAGCTGTATTCCGTAAAAGAAAAATTTTAGTAACTTATTCCTACCCCCAATACTTGGCAGTCAATACATTGTCAGCGCATCATATTTTAAAGTAACATAAGCTTTCAAAAGCATATTCACAAGTGTTGTGCCTTGTTTTATGGTGCTCTGTGCATAGCTATCATAAAGGTCAGCAGTGCACAATGGGATGCAAATTAAAAAAGAGCTTAAAAAAATTCTTTAAATTTTCTTTAAAAAATCACGCCTCATTTGGTCCTTTGAAATTTTTGAAATCTTCTAACCTTTAAAGCCTTTGGTAATCCTTGAAAACTTCTAATCTTTAAAGCCTTTGGTAATCCTTGAAAAAATATTCTTTGAAAACGTCTAACCTTTAAAGCCTTTAGAAGTCCTTGAAAAAATATTCTATGAAAACTTCTAACCTTTAAAGCCTTTGGAAGTCCTTGAAAAAATATTCTTTGAAAACTTCTAACCTTTAAAGCCTTTAGAAGTCCCTGAAACATATTCATTGTAAAGTTCTTATACTTATACTGGTCCTTGAAAAATATTCTTTGTAAAGTCCACGCCTATACTGGTCCTTGAAAAAATATTCTTTGTAAAGTCCACGCCTATACTGGTCCTTGAAAAAATATTCTTTGAAAAGTCCACGCCTATACTGGTCCTTGAAAAATATTCTTTAAAAAATCCACGCCTGTAATGGTCCTTGAAAAAATATTCTTTGTAAAGTCCACGCCTATACTGGTCCTTGAAAAATATTCATTGTAAAGTCCACGCCTATACTGGTCCTTGAAAAAATATTCTTTGTAAATTCCACGCCTATACTGGTCCTTGAAAAATATTCTTTGTAAAGTCCACGCCTATACCGGTCCTTGAAAAATATTCTTTGTAAAGTCCACGCCTATACCGGTCCTTGAAAAATATTCTTTGTTAAGTCCACACTTATACTGGTCCTTGAAAAATATTCTTTGTAAATTCCACACCTATACTGGTCCTTGAAAAATATTCTTTGTAAAGTCCTCGCCTATATTGATCCTTGAAAAATATTCTTTGTAAAGTCCACGCCTATACTGGTCTTTGAAAAATATTCTTTGTGAAGTCCACGCCTATACTGGTCCTTTAAAAATATTTTCTGTAAAGTCCACGCCTACGTTCTGTAAAAATACAGGTCCTGTAAAAATATTATTTGAAAATACAGCGTCTTATAGAGGTCCTTAAACAATATTCTTTAAAAAATTCACTCCTTGGTTGGATTAATGAAAATGCCCAGCTCAAAGGCATATAAGAATGAGCCTACTGATGGTTCCCGTAAAAGGGGAAGGCCACGAATTAGATGGAAAGACCGAGTAGAAAACAACATCTTGGAACGTGGTCTTCCAAATTGGTGGACTTGCACACAAGACCGACGCGCTAGGAAATCTTTTTTATGCTCGACTTATGGAACAACCGTTCTGTAACAAGCCAGCTAAGTAAGTGTATTGGTTGGTCCTTTTAAAAAATATCCTTTAAAAAATCCATGCCTGTAAAGGTCCTGTAAAAATATTATTTAAAAATAATACATCTTATAAAGGTCTTTTATTGGTTGGTCCTTGAAAAAAATATTCTTTCAAAAATCCATGCCTGCAAAGGTCCTGTATAAATACTCTTTCAAAAATTCATGCCAGCAAAGGTCCTGTATAAATACTCTTTCAAAAATTCATGCCAGCAAAGGTCCTTGATAAAATATCCTTTAAAAAATCCACGCCTGTAATGGTCCTTGATAAAATATCCTTTAAAAAATCCACGCCTGTAATGGTCCTTGATAAAATATCCTTTAAAAAATCCACGCCTGTAATGGTCCTTGGTAATTTCCTTTATTAACCCATTGTGCCCATGTTCATTACGTGTCTGCTATTGAAGGCCAACCCATTACTCTTCCGCCAAAGTCAAAGTAAAGTGCAAATTATTTGGCCACAAAGCGCACAGGGCAACCGAACACAATAAACCAAACCCAACCATCCCAGCAGGTGATGGTTGTCGATGAACAGAAAAGAAATTGATTTTTGTATTTTTCCTTTCTTCTCTCTTTTTATGCATTCCCCTCTTTGGCTGGCCCTGCCATATGATGCTGCCTGCTCCTTTTGACGATACATGTGCCTGTACATTCCTGGATCTGAATCTGAAACTGAACTATAATAAAAACATATGCTGTTGTATTGTTGTAATTCCCCGGATGGTTCGTTTTGGTGATTTTGTGGTCGGCTGGATGGCTCGCTCTCTGGCTGGTTGAATGGTTGGCTGACTGGCTGGCTCAATGCTTGCGAATGCAACTCAACCAAAACAATGGCATAAAACATGTTGCAACTTGTAACAACGATGGTGTAAATGGCATGGCATGGCATCGCATGCACGCTGGACCAAACGCTGAATATGGCTGTGGATTCTACACCTTTTGATGCATATCCTGCTGTTTTTGGTTACCATTACTTACCTGGAACCTTGTCCCCATCACTATGTGTATATGTGTACGTGTGTCTATGTGGCACTTGAACAGTATATGTGTGACGGTGGTAGTACTAAATATACATTTTCGTTCACCACAAACACACATTATGGCACCGTGGGTGCGAACAGTGTTTATCAATCAACTGCCACGGTTTCTGGTTATGCGACGACCGCTCTATCCCATAAGTGAGATGATGTAAGTAACGCATAGCACTGCGATTTACATATACATATATAGTTTTTTTCTGTGGTTGGAATTTTATTTACTAAATTTTTTTCTGTTTTCTCTCTCTCTGGTCCGACAGTAAAACATCACGCCAACTGATGCTACGCACATGCAATGGATTCGAACTTAGGGATCAAATACCACCGCTGCCACCACCAGTAGCCTTATCACGGTAAGTCATTCCACTTGAATGTTCTTTAATGTTTGTGAAAGTACTTTAAAATATTTTTTTTTTAAATTCACGCCTTTGGAAGTACTTATTTTTTTAAATTCATACCTTCGGAAGTACTTTTTTAAAAATCCACGCCTTTGGAAGTTCTTAAAAAATATGATTTTTCTTGAAAAATTACTTTTTAAAAAGTCTGCGACTTCAAACTAATTTTTTAATTGTTCTTCCTCCTCCCTCCATTCCCTCCTAGACTACACCATAGTCCGCATAAAACTTCACGTAGCACCTCGCCTCACCTGCAACACCGAGTACAAAGTCTTAACCTATTGGACGAAATTGGTGGACCAGGCGCCCTGGCTGCTAGTGGTAACATCGGCTTTGGTGCCACATGTGTTCCAGCTGCCGCCTCAACAATTAGCGGCAATTTTATATATCCCTGTACGGTGAATCAGGAAACATCGACCACCAGCTCGCTGATCGATACCCTGCATCACAGTCAGTACCAGCAGACGGGCGATTCACTGCTCGATCATCCACTGACGCCAACGAAATTTCGCCAGAAAACCTCAACATCGGTGCAGACGAACGGCTTCGGTTGTGTGGAGTCGTCCACCTCGCAGTATAGCGGTTACGGTACCATACATCATCCGCCCCACCATCATCAACCCCTCTATCATATGGGCCAGTCGGCCACGAAATCCTCATCCACCACCACCCTACATCAACAACAGCCCCAACATTCGCATCCCTATCATCTGTACCGTCAACAATCCACTTGTTCGGCGAACTTTTCGCCAGTGCCTGCTCCCCTGCACCCGCATCAACAGCACCAGTCAACTACGACATGTGACCTGATAGGCAATACAAATTCGAATGTGATAAAATCGACGACCACGGTGAATTCGGTGGCCACCGCCTCGACGCTGGCCGGTTCGTGTTGCAGCGTCAGTGGTACGGTGCAAATACATCAGGGTTTGGGTACGGGAGCGGCATGTGAATCGGCAGCGGCGACAGCAACTGGTGGCACAGCATCATCGACGGCACAGCGGCAGAGTGCTGCCGTACAGACCAATCCAACCACTGCCCGTGCGGAAGTTCTGCCAGAATGTCAGCGCGAGGGTGGACCGCACTGTTGTGCGGCCAAGGAGAGTCAGCTGAGAAATCGTTGGCATAAATGTCCCGAACTGACAAAGGCCATGAAGGGTGTTACCTATATAGCGGATCAAACGCGTAAAGAAGAGGAGAGTACAAGGGTGAGTATTGGGAGCTATAAAATTTAAAAAAAAAAATGAAGGGTCTCTATAGAACCACTGCCGTTCTCAGCCAAATAAAAATTTTGGTTTTTCGTTTTCTTCCCATAAAAAAGATTTCCATTGGACTTTCTAAAATCCCCATCTCTGTTATTAACTTTGGTACTCATTGACAGCTCTATGATTGCCTTTTTATCACCTTTTTTCCAACAAGTGCTCAGTTTACTTCATTGTCAAATATGACACTCATTCAAAGGTGACCGAATCTTCCGAACACAAATCATCTGCATGCCTAGCCCCTAGGTCCCACATGTTCCATGTCAATTGACTACAAATTTTGATAATTTCAATTTTTGCATTGAATCTCGTCAGTTGTTCGATTTGATGGGTATGGTGATGTACAGGTGGGACTGGGAACCATTGTCCACACAATAATTGCTGTGGTCGTATTAGATGTAAGAGGCATGGAAACATGAGAAACCATTATTGAATGTTGCAATGGGAAAAGTGAGGATGAAAAGGACACAAGGATATGAATGATGGATATGTAAAGAGAATTTGCTTTAGAAAGTCTACCTATCAATGTCTAAAAGTGGACCTTGAAAAAATATTCTTCAAAAATTCCAAGCCCTTGTTAGACCCTGAAAAAATAGTCTTAAAAATTCTACGCCTGTGTTAGACCTTGAAAAAACATTCTTTAAAAAATCCACGCCTTTGCTAGAACTCCAAAAAATATTCTTTAAAAAATCCCCGCCTTGATGGCCTTAAAGAGTTGTAGGAGGTTTAAGGATGCTTTTAGAAATTACGATTAAATTTTTTTTACAAATAGATTTTATTAAACCATTATTTATAATACATTTTTTATCTTTTTCTTTCTTTTCATTTTTATTTTGGTCATCTCTCTCCTGGCATCTGCATTGTATTGCACACGAATGATATTACCGGATGCGGATGATGACATCGTCGACAATGGACCTTTAAATAAACCATGAAAAACATCAACAACACCAACAACACAAAAAATAGGTCAAAGAAGATTGGAAATTTGTGGCCATGGTACTGGATCGTCTTTTCTTATGGATTTTTACAATTGCCGTTGTGGTTGGCACGGCTGGTATTATTTTACAGGCCCCCACGCTCTACGACACACGCGTACCCATTGATGTTAGATTATCTGAAATTGCATCGACCACAGCCAAGCCGAATGCTGCCAAACCAGCGTTGTAAATACTTATGAAAATGGAAAAGAAAAAAATATACACAAACAAACAGAAATATAAGGAAAAAATTCAAAAAAAAAAATCAGAGAAAAAATTAAGAGAACCCCGACCTGGAAACAAAAACAAGCTAGAGATTCTTCTTTCACTTTTACTCCCAAGAAAAAAAACGAAAGTAAAAGAAGATAAAAAATTAAAAACAAAAATAATAATTTTTAAGACTTCAAATCAAGGAAATCGAACAGCCACACATCCTGTATACAGTCTCCACATACCACAAAAATATCTCTCTTTGCCCCCTGTCTTTCTCTCTCTCGATCTTTATGGCTCTTTCGGCAGTAAAACAACACACAGACAAACAAAAACTAATGGAAAAGCGGTAAACCTTTCGTTACTACTCATAACAAGGGATATAATAATTACAACAGCAACAACAACAAGAAACGATAACAAAAACAACAACATAAAATTAATATTAACAACCACATTAAGCAACAAAACAACAACAAGCGAAAATTGCAACAACAGTAACCATAACAGTAACATTGTTTTAAGATATAATAATAAAATACATACATATTTATACATAGGTGATTTACATGTAACAAAACAAAATTTACATACATATGTTATGAACTGCACCCAAACACACACATACATACTTATATGTATACAGATCTGCATATGTATGTGTCAATATTAATATGAGGTACTAAAAAGTATAAATTTGTAAACATCGTGAACATTAAAATTTTTCCCCTTTCCTCTTTTCCTTTTCCCACCCTTATTCGTCCACCATTAAAGAAAAGTAATTTAAGCCGATTTCTGCTGATATGGTTTCAGAAGACCATGGAATACCTACGGGCATGGAATACCTACGGGAGGTCATCTATGTATACAAGGGCTATAAGAGCTCCTCGATATAAAATAGGCATTTTACAGGTCTTAGATATGCAAAAGAGATATAGGAGGTCCTCCACATACAGTATACCAATAGAACTACAAAAAGTCTTTTATATGAAAAATAAATATAGGCGGTCTCCTCTGCAGAAGTAAATATTCTATATTGAGGTCCTCTAAAAAGACAAAAATCCCATAAGAGGTATTCTACATACCATAAATCTAGAGGAGGTGATTATAACAAATGGTAAACTCCGATGATCTGTCTCGATCGGAAGGAAGACAGTCGAGTATTATATACGCCCATCCTAATCTGTTTTTTGTCTATTAGAGCCACACTCTGTTCAGCCGGAGAGTAGAGTTTTCGGATTTGACTGAGAATGTTCCTATGAAGCCTTGGTCCAACTTTTGTCTTTCCATAGGAAGTCTTACGTCACCAGACCTTTACCCTCTTTAATTGAGTGATACTTCCAAATTGTAAACTTTGGTGATCTGGCTCCATCTACAAAAATGGTCTTGAGTTGAGGGACGAGTAGCTGTCAATGCCTATAGCTGATACGTACAGGCTATGAAGCCTTGATGCGACTTTCGGTTTTCCCTAAGAAGGTCTTAAGTCGCCATACTGGTATTCCTATCAAACTGTAAACTCTGCCTTAATCCAGAGGAATATCGTCTTGGATCTGTTTTTTTTTTTCAAATAGCGCCCCTCTCTGGTTATCGGGCACAAATGGCGGATCGTACATTGAGAATGTTTCGGCTTTGCCAGAGAAGGTTTCTATGGAGCCATGTTCCGATTTTCATTTTCCCACTGGTGGTCTTGCCACTATTATTTTTGCCTCTACCGACGCATACGGTACGGGATGCCGAACTGTTCGCAGTAACGGCGGCTTCTTTGCAGCAGATTTCCATTCCTCGGTCGATCTCATGCTCTTCATGGACGCAGACTGTGAGGGGTATTTAATTTCTATTCACAGGAATATTTTCTTCTTCTATACGGAAGTACTATAACAGGTCTTAAGTCGCCAGACCTTGAACTCCCTATACTGTGTGATCCTACCAAATTGTAAAATCTGATGATCTCCCATGGTCGAGAAGAATTTGATCTCAAGGTGAGCAACAGAAAATAACCATCGCTGATAAACCCAACGGAATCTGCTGTCAACTAAGAATTCTCCTATGCCTTGTTCGGATAGACTACTTCGAAATTCCTATATACTTTAAGGTATTTCTTAATTTGTAGGAATTCCTTCTCAGTTATTGACTTGAAAATTTTTAGGAGTGCATATCTGATCTTGCATCTTTTGACCAATGAAGTCGGCAGTGGGGTTTCGAACGGGGCTTTGAAGCTTCTACTCGTGGTTTCTTACCCCATAGTAGCAGTGTCCGAATCAGTGACACGTTTTGTTATGCCTACGGACAGAGGTAGTCGAGGCAACCGCACCTACCTCAGTCGGAGATGAATCCATATGTCATCGAGTAAGTGTAGGACATCTTGCCATCAAGGCATATCCTTCATACCATGGTAAGGACCTAATAACTAAAAATATAACATCAGGTATCAACCACGCTCCGTTGGAATAAGTTGATAAGCACAGGTTAGGGTATCATCTTTCAGGATACCTTTGGGGCGTCCATATTCACCTTAGCCGTCCAAGTATGATATATTCTTGGTCATTTTCTCCGATACTCTTTCCTTAGATCTGCTGACTGTTCCCGAATGCTTATTTCATTCGCAGATACCAAATATATCTATATCTGCTTAATAGGAGGAGTACTGATTATATCCGCGATATTTGGTCTTCTAATAGTAGAAGATCTATAGCAGATGCAATGTGTATAGAAGTCCTGAAGACATATCTGCAATGTTCTGTATGAAACGTCTAAAGGTTTTATGTCAATAAAAGCTCTTCAAAAGTATAAAACATTTTTAAATCACCAGCCTCCTCTTCCCTCTCTATGTTCCCTTTTCCTCCCAGAGAAAAAACTAATTCGCATTTTATTGGAAACAAAACAACCCAAAACTACCTATTCGACAACTAAGGAGCACAACTACCATAAAAACAACTACAACTAACCACACACACACACAAACTGTCATTCTCAATGGGAATGTACAGATAATTGTAGAAATAAAAAAAACTAACAAGAAAAATATTTATATTTTTTATTATGATGATGGTGATGATTATTATTGAAATCTATGACAAAAAACAAAGATGACAAATGATTATTATTACGAATAGAACAACAAAAGAAAACCCAAAAAAAAAACAAACAAACAAAAAATGATACCCTTTAATAAGCCGCTACAAAGGTAAGATAATGATTTTTATATATATTATTGTATGTGTGTATATTGTTATGTATTATGTAGTGAAAAAAAATAAATGAAAACCCAAAAAAAAACACTAAGAAAAATGTCTTCAAGAGGAAAACAATTTTAGTATAATTAGTTTTAATAGTATAAGATAAGTTAATAAAGTTTCAAAAATCCCCAAAAATATTCATTCAAACACACACACACATAGATAATTAATTGTAAATCATTAAATCATACATAAAACATCGACATATTCAAACATAAGACAAGATATTGACAGCATTTAGAAGAATATTCGATAAATTTGTGTATATATAAAGGATTCTCCCTAAATGAAAATCTTCACAAAACCAAGACTGTGGCTCCAGTGGTCCACAATAAGAATGAATTATAGCTTAAATGACCTTGAGTTAATAAACCCTTAAAAATATTATTAAGCAAATATTCCTAAAAAATATTATTTATGTTGAATCTCCTAAAAGTCCATCCTTCGAAACTCTGGAAAAAAAGATTTTTAATGAAGTCCAACCCTTGTAACTTCCGGAAATAATTTGTTTAAAGAATTCTACGCTGGGATTTCTATGAAAAAATATTCCCCAAGGAATTATTGATTGGAGATCCTTGAAAAAATATTCTTTAGCAAACCCACACATGGAGGTCCTGGAAAAAATATTGTTTAAGATATCCACATTTAGAATCCAGCCTTCGAAGCTATAGAACAAATTTTAATGAGAATGAGAAAATCCTAGAAAAAAATGTTCCTAAGATCCTTGAAAAAAAATATTCTTTAGGAGGTCCTTGAAGGAAATACTAAAAAATACGCATTGGCTGGTTTCTGAAAAATAGTCCAATTAAATCAACGAATATATAAATTCATAAAAATATTTTCAGCAAATGTTCGCATGGAGTTTCATTATCTCTTGAAGAAATATTTTCAAAAACAGTCAACATTGTTTTATTATACATTGAAAACTCTTAATTGGATGTCCTTGACAAAAGTAATCCTTAAGAAATGGAGGTCCTTGAAAAAATATTCTATAAGGAACTCACGCTTGGAGGGCCTTGAAAAAATATTCTCTAAGGCACTGTTGCTTAAATAATAATTCCTTAAATAATATTTTGAAGGACTCCAAAATATTATTTAAAGAATCCATTATTCTTTGAAAGCTATTATTCAAAAACACCCTTGGAGTTATTTTGATCCTGGGAAATATATTCTTAATAAAACAATATCCTTGAAAATTTAATACAGATCCTTAGAAAAGGTGTATTAAAAAGTATTCCGCAGGGATGTCCTGGTTGGAAGTCCTTAAAAAATATTCTTTAAAAAATCCACACTTGGAGGTCCTTGGAATAATATTCTATAAAGAACTCATGCTTGGATGACATTCAAAAAATATTCTTGAAGTGTTTCAAAATATTAGGTTGTGTAAAAAGAAATCGATCAAACAATTTGAGATTTATGCTCGTTGGTTGTCCTTGAAAAGGTATTCCCTAACGAAGTCGTGATTGAAGGTCCATGAAAAAAGGATTCTTTGATAAATCCACGCTTGGAGGTCCGTAAACAAATATTCTTTATGCTTAAAGGACCTTGAAAAAATGTTTACTAAGGCCCTGCTGCCTTGAGTCCTTCAAAATATTACTTAAGAAATCCATTATTTATTGGAAGCTGTTATTTAAAAATTCCCTGGGAGGTATTTTTATCCTGGGATGGGATTTAAGAAACGCTCCATTAGAAGTATTATAACAAAAATTTTTTCCAAATCTCAAATTTGGGATTGGATAGTTCTCAGACA